CAGCAGGAAATTAGGAACCTGATGAATCTAATGGCAAAATTCTTACTTTAGGGGACTAGAATGTCGCTGTCCATGTGAAGTTCTTCTCTTAGAGATATAATTTGGACTTCTGCATTTGAGTTGAGTGGAAGTGTGCTGAAGTCTTATGAGGCCTATGTAAAATAACAGAAGAAATAGTTCATGAAGTTTAAAAAGGGACAATTGCAATTCTTCAGTCACTTGTGGATTTTCATTTGGAAATATAAAATTATGGTTTTTTTCAGTTTACAGACACCAAATTACAAAACAATAGTTATCAAGTTGGTAGCAAATTTCAGGGGGTTTCAGTTGCAGAGGCTGGAAATTAGTACATAATTCAATTTGCCTTTTTTTTTTATAGCAGTTTTAAGCATTTAAAAGTTTTAAAGTTGAATACATAACTTATCCTCTCTTGAACTGATTAGAAATTGAATGTTATTATATCCTAAACAGATATTTCTTGATCATTTAAACTTTTAACTAAAAATTCAATCTTTTGTTTCCCCGTTGAATGGGCTGCTTTAAAACATTCTCAGTAAGTCTCTTCCAGAAGGGTTATCTGGAAGCCTTAGCCAGCACAAGATGCTGGTGTGTGCTTGTTCAGTGATGACTAGGTACCATCAATGCCCTTTACTCTTGTGCACATTCATGACCAAATTCTCTGTGTATCTTGCATTGGTCACAATCTTTATCATCTTGCAGGGCTGGGACATAATTCCATGAGACTCCCTGTCTCTGCAGTATGTGCTGCTGCAGCAAGGACTCAAGAAGCAGTTATGTACTCTTCAGTTTGGTATTGCGGAGTGCTGTTGTCTAGGACACTTCACCTGCTCCTTCCAGTTACCCACTGGACCCTGATTTTGCAACTTTCAGGAACAATGACACTTTCACAATCATCCTTTTATGGCAGTGGTATCTTGATGAAATAATATTGCATAGGAACGGTGTGTTCTCAACTATTGAGAAAACACACAGGTACCAGAGGAATGGGTTCTGTGAACCAGTAAATCCAGCGATAAAGCAAATTCTCAGCAGGCACAGAAGGAAAAATGTAGTGGAGTGGTGCACCTAATTGAAATAGCTTGCAGAATCAAAGTCTGAAAATCATCTTTTGCTTCTCCTTTTAGTAGCAACATACACGTTCAGGAAAAATATCCTAGTAGCAGGTAAAAATAAAATTAACCCCCTTCTCACCTGTCTCTGACCTCCTTTTCCAAAAAAAAAAAAAAAAGAAAGAAAAGAAACCAAAACAAAACAAAAAACAGTTGTGCTGTGATCTCCTTTCCTTTAGATGTTGGAAGTCAGAAATACCTTTCCATACAGTTTTCGGTCATTGTTTTGACAGTGCATTTTCATAAATCCCTTTTGTTTCTTCAGTAAAGTAGTGAAGTAAAATGTAGTGAAAGTGAAATAGTCTCCCTTTCCTAGAACCTCACAGCTAATCTCGTTTCTAATTCTACCGTGTCTCAGTAGCAGCAGGAGGTTGGGAAACAGGTTTGAGTATTGGAAATCAGTGCTCCACTGTAGATGTGACTTTAGCAACTTAAATTGTCATTCAAAGTCTAAAATTGCATCAAGGAAGTATAGAAATATTTACTAAGGAAAAAAAAGAGGGTGGGGAGAAGGGCTGGTGTAGTTTGCAAAAGCAACTTCCACTGTTGGAGTTGAGAAGTTTGTCCATTTTCCTGCTAAAGAAGCAGGCAGTTCTAGTGGGAGAGGTGCAGAGGGACAGTGGGGGGTGACAGCCAGAGGGTGAAAAGATGAACTGCTTCGTGTCCAGTATAATGTTAGGACCTCATTTGTTCATGGAAATGCAGAGTGGCCATAGAACAAGGGTGGAGTGATTACGTTACGTGCAGGCAGATGCCTTGCATTTGCAATCTCATTTTTGTATCGTAAACGAAGGAAACATGAACATGTACATAGATTAATCAGCATGAGGGACTTTGTTACCAAGAGTCAGAACCGTCCTGTGACTGCAGTTGTGAGCTCTTCCTTCCAGCTGGTTGTGAGCTAAAAGACATTAGCTGAGAAACAATAACCTGAAGACAATAGTTCCATTAAAATGGAACAAGTGTGCCTAACCCTTCTGATGTCATTTGATTTCAGTCATAAAAGAGGAAACTAACCAGAGTGAAATGGCTGAAGACCTGTGCAAGATAGGGTCAGAAAGATCCCTCGTGCTGGATAGACTAGCAAGTAACGTCGCCAAACGTAAGAGCTCTATGCCTCAGAAATTTGTTGGTAAGAGTTAAACGTTTGCTGTCTCCTACAAAATAAATCAAAACAAAACCCCAAAAAACTATTTCAGGATTTTTACTTTTGCATTATGATTTTACTTGTTTTACTACATTAGCAATATCAGTGTCTATAGAAGCAGATACAGCGGTGTGTTGGGGGGGGAAAGAAAACCAAACCAAACTTCTCCAGCATACATTTCTGCATGTTTAATTTTCCACATCTGGAGATAAATTTTAATTCTTTTTCTTGTCTTTTTCTAATGCTTATGAACCAGCATTAGATCTGGACAGGCTCTTGAAGTTGCCTTAAGAACCTGAAGATAGGAATAGAAGTTTCCTATTGGGAAAGCATTTGACCACACTTTCAGGGTTATTTTGTTAACTTCTTGGATGACATCCAGATCTGGGCATATTGGTGTTTGTGAAAGCATTTGTGAATAGTTGAGCAGGGGCTGGATAATATTCTTCACCCCTTCATAAAGACTGTATACTTTTACAGCACAGAATGATCATGGAAATAAATAAACCTAGGTCTGAGAAGAATATGATGCAAAAACTTCACGCTCATTTGTACCTAATAGCTTTTGTCTTAACAATAAAAAAATGGAGGCTACACCTATAAAAATATTGTTTTGTTCTGTTTGGTAAGCCTGTTATATCAGTTTTTTAATGGTGAGACCCACAGACAATTTTTTATCAGTCATGTTGATTCAGTCTTTAATGAACAAAATCGTGGGAGATCAGAGAACAGCACATACTAATATCAAGTTAGATTCTTTTAGAATTCTCTGCACATTCATTTATAATATTATTATATAGGAGACAATTGGAGAAAACTGAAGTCTTTGAAACAAAACACACATTAAGAAGGTCTTCAGTCAAAAGTTAAAGCAAAAAAAGGACAGGTTATGGGACAGAAATTCCAAATATACCTTCTTCAACAACAGCACAAGGGTGAAAGGAAAAATAGTATTTTTGAGACACGGAAAGGGGAATCTCAGTTACATTAGGAAGTACAACAAAAGGTTTGAAACGAAAGTCCAAGATTGTTTTCATGTCCAAAAGCAACAATTCCAGGAGGTAGTCAAGGACAAGAAATGCTTATGATTATAAAAGAACAAAAATTGTGGTAGAGGTAGTTACCAAAAATATATCAAGTATGTGAGGCAAACCTGCTTAGTTTAGACACTCTAGTAACTCATTGCATTAGGCAAAATACCAGTTCTGTGAAAGCTCCAGGAAGACCAGAAGTGTTAAAATTTAAAAGGTACTAGCAAGTATCCTATATGTGATGTATCTGTGGTTGTGGACTAGCTTTTTTGTTCTCCTTTTATCTCTTCACCCTGAGAAACAGTAAAGACAGCCAGTTTAACTAGGAGTTTTAGGAGGCAGAGTTTCCTGTCAGTTAGTTATTGAGGGTGCGGTGTAGGAAGACAACCTACTGACAGCAGATATTTATGGAAACTTGGTAACCTTCAAAAGGAGAAACTTTTCTGACCAGAAAATGCCCCCAAATCCTTTCCTTTCCAATCCTCACCTGCTGCTTCATGTAATAGTTACATTCCTGATTAACACAAGGGTGGGCTGGATGGTCAGGAAGCTTTTGGGTAATAAAACTTGTTTAATGCTCCTGTAGATTACCATGTCATCCCAATCCCCATGCTGAATTCCAGGGAGAAGGAGCAAACGGCGTCCTTTGCATAAGGGAAAGACTGTCTGCTGCTTCAATCATTTTTCTCAAGGCTAAATTCATTACCTTTCAAAAGGGAGATTGTTCACCAAATTAAGCCAGTTATCTGTAAAATTCTCTCTGTATTCCAAACTGGAATAGCTCTCAGACCTGAAAGAACTGGGCCATCCAAACTAGAGATTGACAACTGCAGGCGAGATTGACACATGTTTATCATGTTAAAACAATAGGCAGCAAAGAAAAGAGAGGGGTTAAGTACCAAAAAAAAAAGAAAAAAAAAAAGAAAATAAAAAAAAGTGCTTACATGGACTGAGTGCATTTTTACTATTTAGATACCTGAGCAGTGCGAAGCTTGAAGTGCATCAAACCATTAGCAGTTTAATTTACTTATGCTCTAATAACCACAGATATGAGCTATTATTTTTAATGAGTGCAAGTATTACCTGCATTGCCCAGATACAGAAATGATACCTGCCTATCTCAAGTTTGTGTCTGTTTCAGACACTATGCTTGGAAACAATTTTTCTTAGGAGCATTTGATCCTCTCAGTCCAACTAACAACTAGTTATAAAGCAAATACTACTCAAGAAACAGCTATTAAAATCATGCCTTCTGGATGCCCAAAATTTTGTGTATAATGCTGACCAGTCCCACTTTTCAGTGGTTTACAGTACCCATGGAATACAAATGATTTTGGTCCCATTTTTTTCTCCTTAAGTCCAGGGTATACATTTGTATTAGTAGAGTTTTTCTATATTTAATTCAAGAGTCTTTTACAATGCCTGATTTAAATCTTAAGCCTCAAACTCTGCCTGAAAACTATAGCATTAGAAAGGGTAAATCTGGAAGAAAAAAGAATGCACCCCAATAGGGGGATGCTCAAATTGGCAGAACAATAGGGAAAGGAAAGAAGAGGAAGTAGAAGCTTGTGCAGCATAGCTAGAAGGTATCTATCTGTACCTTACACCCCATTATAGGAACTTATGCAATGCTCAGAGTGTTTATTTCTCTGCTTGCAGAGCATGGACAAACTAGTATGAAACCATGTCTTGTGGGAAATGTAGACAGCAGGACTTTCTAAACTTTAGCCCCATCATTGCAATAGTGTCATGCTAGAAGTCTTCTGGGCTCTTCACTGACTTTGAATAGTCAATTTGAGTGGGAACTGGGTGGGAAATTGTTGATAAATCAATTTGCAGATCTTCTGATAAACTTTCCATGCTCCTATTAGCATTTCTTTTATACAAATTATGACTTTCCAAGGCCTACCAGCAAATGTCGTGTTGATTAGGAAATGGTGATACTACCTCATAGAGATGTTTGTGGCTTTCAATAAATTTCCCAAGATCTGCAGAGCTAGAAAATCCATCTGGACTGTTAACAATGTGTTATTGGTAGTCCCTAAGAATGTGCGAGAATTTTTTACCCCTTTGCATTTGCACAAATTTGTTAGGGCCCTGATAATAACATTGATGTTTTACACTCTTTGAGAAGACTGTTCAGGTTCATAAAATCATCTTCTGTGCCTTTAAATAGTTTCTCCCAGTCCTAACTTTTACCTGCTATGTTTTGCTTAGTCCTATCTGTCCATGAATTTTGAAAAAATGTAGTGAAACTCAGTGTTCAATACTAGGGTATCCAGCTAGAGATATGTTAGTGCAGTCTGATTTAAAAAAAAAAATTAAGAGCCTCCTCTTACTTTTGGAATCCCAAATCAGAGTTGAAGTTACAAGTAACAAGTGATCTTTCTCTATATGGGGCTTTTTACCTCATAGGAAAAATATATTCTAACTACAAATGCACTTAAATTTTTTACATGGTTCTTGGCTGTTCCTGTAGATGATAACTTTTTTACATAAAATTTCTAGGAACATGAGTCACTTCTGGTAATGTGCCTAACATGGTTTATTTAAAAAACAAGGCATGAAGTAGAGGTGGCAGTATGAAAAGTTAAAGTTTCTCTTATATGACATATGACTACATTGCCAATGTGGGTTATTTGTGAGAAACTGAAGGTCTAAAACTAAAACATACAATTTCCAGATAAAATTGTAATATTTTAGTGATAAATATTGATAATGAGCTTCATCACCTAAAGCATGAAGACCAGGCTAACTGAACTGTAGGATGCAGATAAGGGAGTCCAGCTAGAAATGAGAAAGAGAGGATGAAGAACTTGATCTGTAGCTCCCACGAGTCCCCATATAATTATTTCCAGATATGTTTTCATCCATTTGCTTTTCCAAAGACCTCCAATTATTTTGGAGGTTGAAAAAACTCCACCAACCAACCATTTTTCTGACCAGCTATATTAGAGAGCTACGAATACCTCAGGTGAATTTCAGAGGTGGATTTGATCAACTCTTTGCTTCCCTGTTGCTGTTTTACTAATCCATGATCTTTGGTTCCTTAATTATCAGCCCTCTAACTCCTGACTGTTTTCCCCTGCAGGTGAGAAATGTCTGCCTGATCTTCCATATGATGCCACCACCAACTATGAGAAGGAGAATGAGATAATGCAGACACATGTCATCGACCAGGCCATTAATAACGCCATCAGCTACCTGGGGGCAGAGTCCTTGCGTCCCCTTGTCCAGACACCACCAGGTGGTTCTGAGGTGGTGCCTGTCATCAGCCCCATGTATCAGCTCCACAAACCTCTCGGGGACAATCAGGCTCGCTCCAACCATACAGCTCAGGACAGTGCAGTGGAAAACTTGTTGCTGCTTTCCAAAGCCAAATCTGTCTCGTCCGAACGAGATGCCTCTCCCAGCAACAGCTGCCAAGACTCAACAGATACAGAGAGCAATAACGAGGAACGCAGTGGTTTAATTTACCTGACAAACCACATAGGTCCCCATGCAAGAAATGGCATCTCTATAAAAGAAGAAAACAGGCAATATGATGTCTTGAGGGCAGGTACTGACAATTCCCAGGATGCTTTCAAAGTGATCAGCAGCAATGGGGAGCAAGTGAAAGTTTACAAGTGTGAACACTGTCGAGTTCTTTTTTTGGATCACGTGATGTATACGATCCATATGGGCTGCCATGGGTTCCGCGATCCTTTTGAATGCAACATGTGTGGCTACCACAGCCAGGACAGGTACGAATTCTCTTCCCACATAACTCGAGGGGAGCACCGTTTCCACATGAGTTAAAACTCCTCCGGCACAGATCTAGCCTCAACAGCTGTGTTCCTGGAGCTGCACAAGCCACGACAGCAACAAAGCACAAGTCAGCTGGACAGTAAAAGTAACAAGAGAATCAAACGTTCAGCTATCTTCTCCTTCAAGAAAAGAGTTTTCATTTTGGTAGCATGCATTGCAACTCAGTTTTATAAAATGAGTACTAAAGTTTTTACTGAAAAAGTTTGATCACCAAAAACCATTAGTAATGTAAGTAGGAGCTTTTGTAGTCACATAGCTGAAAGCCCTTCCCTTAACTGATGCTTCTTGCAAACCTCCCTTGCCAAAACTGTTAACCATGCGCAGGATGCACCACGCGGATGAGGACATGACAGGCAGGAGTGGCCAAGCTTTCTTTCTTAACATCCTGAGTGTAGGGTTCTTACACCAGATGTGTGTTTTTTGACTTCCTGGTATTATTTGACTCTTTTGGGAAGAATAAACTCAACTAAAGATGGAGGGACCCATCTCAGATAACTTCACGGACAGCTGGGGAGGGACTGGACCCCCCAGCCAGAGGGTTCTGAGTTGCTTGGGCGGTAAAAAGTACAACATTTCCAACCTCAAGGGTGCTGTCACTGGGCAGGCAAGCAGGTATGTGAAAGATAGAAGAAACACCTTTGTAATATACTCTGTGAAGTATGAATTGCATTTACTGTATAGAAAAAGGGTATTGTTGTCTCTTCTTTGAATAAATGTTTTCTCTCCCTATCCAATAAAACCCCACGTTTTTGCTAAGCAAGCAACCCTTCCTCTTTCTGCATAAACAAGTTACAATGGATTTTTCTTTCTTTCTTTTTAAAGTTTTAGTAATTTGGAAAAGTATGATGAAAGCACTAGCTAGAACCACATGTGGGGAAAGTCTCCTTATGCACCTCTTTCTAAACTGTCTGGAAAATATCCAAATGTCCCTCTTTTACATACAAAAAAAAAAATCCCATTTTGCTTATACAGAAGATGTCCTCTTGTAGATTTTGTGGCTCTACTCGTAAGTGTTGCACTTAATTATTTTTAAAGCACTGAGCTGAGTTAAACCAGACACTCGAAACTTGTAGCCTTCTCCTTTTTTCCTGCCACTTGCTGTTTAACGAGGGACAAAGCCCTGCAAAGGTGCTGAGAACCCTGGATTCCCGTTAACAAATCATTTCACCATGTGCTTTAAGTTACTTTTATTTCAATGGAACTAATCTTAAGGTGAAAAAAAATGGTGCTTTGCTGAATGGAGACCAGACTGGCTCTTGCAGAGTGCAGTAAAGTCCACCAAGAGCTTTCTCCATGGCAGGTTCTGCTGCAGATATTGTAACTTCAGGTAGAATAAAAACTTGAGTGACAAACAGATTTTAACCCCAAACACAGCTGATATAAAAAAATACTTTTATAAAAGGTTCTATTTAACTTCCTCTTCCAAATAGTTCTTTCCTCTCCCTGAACACCCTCGTACTTTGAAACTGGGCAAAAAAGACATTTTGCAGCTGCATAAAAATCTGTCATCGGTGCTGCAATACTTCCTGGGCAACATTTGTAAAAATAACCCATCTTATTAACTTAATGTAGAACTACTTCCATGCTGCATAATAAATGGATATTCTGCAATAAACACAATCATATACCCAACAAGACAAGCAGTTACACATTCTCCATTCACAAGTGCATGCAAGCACATATATTTATTATAAAAGAGATTAGATTGGAAACATGAATGCTTGTACCTAGGCCAATTTGGCCTGATACATGTAGCTATATTTGATATATTTCCTATATATACACACACTATTACAGGCACACCGAGTTCCTCCTTCTGCTTTCACTTTTGCAGGTGTAAGTCAGGAGCAACAACATTGAAGTTAGAGGAAAGATACTGATGAAAAAATGAATTACAAATATATGCTTTTGCAATCTCCTGTCTCAGCTTTTCATGCCAACTGTAAGACAGTTGCTTCACACGGCACATGGGCACAGGGGATGGTTTCACACTGAACCAACTGTAAGACAGTTGCTTCACACGGCACGTGGGCACAGGGATGGTTTCACACTGAAGGTGTGTGCGTGCCTGTTCAGTAGCTTTGTCACCAGATGTGGATGCTGTGTATGAACGTCCGTAGACTGACACATACACCCACAACCATGAAAACAAATGACTAGTACATGTTGGGTAGGGCAGTACATACAGCATGGCCACTCACCCCCTCAAAAATGAGTGCTGTGAACTACAGGCCCAAAGGCCATGCCCTCCGCTCCCGCACTATAACTCCGTTGCCTTAGGAGACATTACTGCTTGTCACCTTCCAGCCCGAGACACTGTGCAGGGGGTGCGCACAAGGAATCATCGTCCACCTTCATGTCCCAACCACAATTTTGTCATCAATGCCTGCTACACATTCCGCTTCAAGACAGACTGTACCTGGCAACAAGGTATTACTAAATATTCTGTGTAGAAATGACCTGAAGAGGACCTTCAAGTGGAAAGCTTACAGTGATGAGTTTCTTTTATTTTTTTCTTTTAAATAAAATAGAAATGGGTTCATTTTTTCATAGCTGATAGGGATGCATTCAGCAGTTCTTACCCCTCTCCACTTTTGATCAGTAGCAACCAAGAAGGGGCAAAGTAACTTCCCAGCCGCGCTGCAATGTGCTGTGTGAAGCCAGCTGTTGGCTGTACAGAAGCATTCTGCTTGTATTGCTCTTACACCTCTTTCCTACTGGTCTTAGATTTAGGCCACTATATACCCCATGCCATAATATTTTTAACCCTTCATTTTAAGACACCCCAAGCTATAAAGGGGAGGGGAAAGGAAACTTACTTGGGTGGTTTTGTTTCTTTGCTTTTACTAAAACCCAACACAGATAAAGCCACATTCATTAATCATGCAAACAAGCATAGCTCCAGTGGAGTTTAAAGCTGCCTTGAACTTAGCTTTTAAATGTGATTTCTGATTACTGAGGAGGTCCACTGCCTTTGCAACATCTCTGTGCATACATGCACATGTCTGAGCTTCTGCGTCGCTTTTCTTGTCAACTGGCACATGTCCTATCTGTGGTTTTGTGTATCATTAATATTTTATATACATATGTATGTATATATATAGCTAAAATGGTTCGTATGATATGATGATGCACTGTCAATCACAGTGGGTTTGTTTCCTGGGTCTGGAGTATTCTTATTTATACTATAACAGAATATGTCGATGTTGTATATTAAACAATACAGTAGAATAAGTAAGTATATTAAGACATGGGGTATCAGAGGGCATAGTCTAAAGGCAGGAGCAACCAGCATTCTCTGTTCACAAAGGGGCTTTATTATGTTTGGTTTTTTTAGTGTTTTTTTCTTTTTTTTGTACAAAATAATCTTCAATGTGTTTAGAAACAAGTGTTTCAATAATTTTATTTATGAACATATGCAAGGATGGCATGAAAACAGGATGTTGTGTGTGTACATCAAAACAAACTGTGCCCTCAGAAAATTAGTTGAGTGTAATCTCCCTTTTTTTTTTTTTTTTTTTGCTATGGTGCAATACCTTGATATGGTTTAGCTGAACCCTAAAACAAGTAAATATGGTGAATGGCTTTAAGTTTATATCTGTTTTTAAAAAAGTAAAAAATAACCACTTTCCAGGCCTTCTCCAGACACTGCCTTTTCTAATAGAAAAGTTGTATTTACACTCTTTTTTTTTTTTGCTGTGATTTTATATTGTAATTTCATTTTTCTTTGAGAACTTTGTATTTTAAAAAAACCAAGCAAATTTCATAAAAATTGGAAATGTTATGAAATTATGTCTGCAAAGTGAGATGTATCTTTTAAGACAAGAGAATACGGTAAAAAAAAAAAAACAACCCAGAACATTTGTGTCACTCTCTGGGTGGGTGAAGAAGCCATTTGGCGCGGCTGCAGGTGCTGTGCGTGGGGTGGTGACTGTGTGTGTGTGGGCAGGGTACGGCGAGATGCAGGCACACAGCTCCGTGGGCAGCGAGGGAGCGCTGGGCACCGTGCATGGCCTGAGCCTTTGCTGCTGCACCTACAGCCCGCATCGTGGTGGGCTCATCCTTGCTGTCCTTGCAACCCATCTGCCAAAAAAGGGAATGGTGTGTGAGTCGCCCTCCACTCACCAGCCACGTGAAGCAGCCTTGCTAAGCCAGCTCCAGCTGAAGATCGAGTCCTAAACCGGCTGCCTCCTGCCCAGAGTGATCCTGGCTACAAAACTCAGGCAGCTCCTGCGAGTGGCTGACTCTGCAGAGGCTGCTAGCTTCCCAGCCCTCTCCTCTCACCCACCAGCCTGCCAAAGTTATTGCAGAACACAATTACTTCTGCATGTAGAGTCACGGTAATTCAAAATAAAACACTGAGAAATTATTTCTACTATTTGCTATAACAAAGGTGTTTTCTCTGCAGGTGTCCCTGTTTCCTTCAGATTCCAGCACAGTAAATTTCACATCACATATTTAATGCAAAGAAGAATCATTGTTTTGCTTAGAAAAAGCACCATTTATAAAGTTTTAGAAATATTTCCATTTGTGTGACTGTATTATTATGAACAAAATGAGATTAAAAAAAACCCCCAAACTCTAATGGTATTGCCATCAGTTCTTTTACAGGTTCCCAAAATCTAAATTTTCCTTAAGTAACTGTGATATGATTTAATCATAAACGATGACTACTTCTCTATAAGAAGGAACCTTTTAACATCCTAATTCTTTTGTTCACCATCATAGCTAGCTCTCAGTAAATGAAATGAACTACAAATTTCTGTTTCAGCAGGTGACTCTTCTGCAAAGTAAAAATGGTCTGTTAAATAAAATAATAATAATAATCACATAAATAGACCAAATGTAGCAATCTCAATCAATATTATTAAATCCTTGAACAAAAGTAGAGACATCCACAGATTTAAATGCAAGTTTGTGTACCTAAAAAATCTATATGTCTATCTATGTCTATGTTTCAAAGACTTTTTAAAAATCATCATATTTTTTCCTACTACAATAGCTTGACTGAATTACATCAGAAACTGCTGTAGGTGCCAAGAGATCAACTGTTACACAGAAACAAACATACGACTACCGGGGTGAGTATGTTCAGCCTCAAGTCCCCAGACAGGCTTCCCAATCCATATATAAGCATCTAAACACCAAAATAGTATTAAGACATGCTCAGCAACCAACATTTTCTAGTCAGTCTTTGAAATCAAGAAATACACTAAAACACACAAGATTCTTTTAGTAGGTATCAAAATGAGAACTTGCAGCTAGACCTGGAGTGTGCAGATCTGAGGATGTAACCATTTCCTATGTTTTTGAGGGGAGGGGGCAGGGTATGCAGGACTCACTCAACATCTTATTTGAGGGAAAGGGGTTAGAAATGCTCCTGACTTTGCCAATACACCGAGGATATTGCACTGGTTTTGT